AGAAGGCTCCGGGGAGACCTTCCAGCACCTCCCAGTGCTGAAAGGGGGCTACAGGAGAGATGGGGGGGCTCTGGATCAGGGGGTGCAGGGACAGGACGAGGGGGAAAAGTTTGAAGCTGAAAGAGGGGAGATGGAGATGAGATGTGAGGAGGAAATGTTTTCCTGTGCAGTGGCCCAGGTTGCCCAGAGAAGCTGTGGATGCCCCATCCCTGGAGGGGTTCAAGGCCAGGCTGGATGAGGCTTTGGGCAACCTGGGCTAGTGGGAGGTGTCCCTGCCCATGGCAGGGGGGTGGCACTGGATGGGCTTTAAGGTCCCTTCCAACCCAAACCATTCCCTGTTGTCAGCTGTTAAGAGGGTATTAAGTTAAAAAGATACTGATGATGACTGTCTCATGGGCTGAGGAGTTGTGCCAAACAACAGTCCCTGTGAAAGTGGAGTAGCCACTATTTTAATCTTACTACTAGACTTGATCGTAAGCCTCTAAGTGCCTGGAACCCTCACTCTCAATCCTGATCTAACCTAGTTAGCAACTTTTGTAAAGAAAATAAATCACAGTTGCTAAAATAAATTTGAATGTGAAAATCTACTCTTGAAATTGTTAGGAAGAAACTATTTTGTTGATGGTGTCAAAAATGGTGTGGTAGAAACTTCTTTATAAAGCACTGGAGCTTGGAAAAGAGTGCAACATTATGACAGTTAACAGTGAACTGAAGAAGTTTAGAAGTTACTTGTTTGCTTTTGTCAGTCCCACCCTGGCAGTTTAAAACAACATGAAAACAGAAAGAATGCAAAGTTTGTATTATATGGCAAAGTGATCCATCTCAATCTATCTGGAGCAGAAGATTATAGTAGCAATCTGACCTTGCCTCTTTTTGCTTGAAAAGCAAAAACTGTTGCTGCAAGTCTTAAACTGCTTGTTATATTACTGGTTACTTCCCATTTAAATCTTGCATTCTTGTGATAGAGCTGCAACCATGGGTTGCAGAACAACTCAATCTGCAAAATCCTGAGCTAGCAAAACTTAATACTGTTGTCCAAGACCTAATTCAATGCTCATTTTCATTTGAAAATTAAATGCAAGTTTTATGCTGCACTAGCTTCAGTGTTCAGAGCTGAACCTAGCTGAACTCTACAAAACTCTGCTGTTACTAACTTTAGACCAAATGTAAGCTCACTGACTCCCTGTACTTTCAGCTTAAAAGTAGTATATTAATGGCCAAAATAAGGCTCTTTAGATGTTTTGGATTGTGTCTCAACATTTGGCGTGACTTAGTTAACCTGTAGGCAAACTAGAACTGGTTTTCTCTTTCAAGTCTTGATTATTTTTTTTTACGGCATTTTGCCATGTATCAAGTTACTAATAGCCAGCACAGCGATGCGAGTGTAATCTGCTGCGTTCAGTCATGTAGGTAGGCCCAATATCCAGCGTTAAAGGGCCCATCTCAGAGGTCTCAATACGTAACAATACTAGGTGTCTAGTATATCTGTCTCGGAATAAAGTAGTGGATCATGTTAACTTGACCAAGTTCATTTCTTACAGACCAGTCTTTTGTGACTCTAGCCACAAACGATTCCTATGTGAAAGGAGCACTGGTGCTGGGCTCATCCCTGCAGCAGTACAGAACAACCAGGAAGCTGACTGCACTCGTAACGCCTCAGGTCTCAGATCTCATGAGGTAAGGTCACTTACATACTTCAAACTGCCGCAGTTCCTGCTGGTGGGAAGGCTTAAAAATGGAAATCAAATTCTTTAATAGTAACCCTCCAAAACTCTGGAAGCTTAACAGCTAGGTACTAACCTGTGACTTGATACTGATACTTCAACTGTATCTTTGCTCTTTCGTAGTCCTACTTCGAGCTGTCTGATAATAAGATATTGCCTGTGTGTATGCATGGGGAGGGGGGAGTAGGGACTGGTATTTGTCTTGCAGAAGCATTCCAGATTGAGATAATGTAACGTAAGCTCTCTTGAAATCTAGCAGACACTTCAAATCAAATTTTATAATGAGAGAAGAAAATGAGCAGAACTAAAGTAGCACCAAGTACTTCAAATGAGCAGATCAACAGAGGCATCTAATGAGGTCACCACAGTACAACAAAGGAAATTTACAGGCAGCTGCTTCCTACAGCCTCTCTAGAATAGCCTCAGTATGGAGCAGACTGAGTGCTCTCTCCACATGTAAGAGGAGGGTAAAAACCCAATTAACTTAATAGCTACATGAACTACAGATGATAGGTTAAGGTTCTCTGCATGGGCAAGGGCTTCTGAAAAGGTCTCTCAATTTATAGAGCAGTAGGGAAGTGGCTCAATACTAAATGGAGTGACTCCCCCTGGGGTCTCTTGGCAGCTGAACGGCCTTATCGATATAAAGATGTTACATATAGGAACATCCATTCAAGCCTATTAGGTGAGTGTGCTCTTTTAAGATGAATCATAAATGTGCTTATGTGCTAGTGTAAGCCAGCCAGCGCCATGCCCTTAGACCAGCAATACCTCCCCAGGGGCGTAACTGGAACTTGCATTTCTCCCTCTGTGTCCACTAACAAGGTATCCATTAAGTTCAGGAGCAACTGTCCACCCCAGACTGTCAGTATGAAGACAGCCTTGCAAGGCAGAGTTCTAAAACTAATTTACAAGCTCTGTGGTGCAAATTGTACTGATAATTACTGAGCATTCAAGATCTACTGTAGAATAGTGAGACTCTACAGAGGCTTCATATTTTAAGCAGCATGAACTCCTTAACCTCTCTTGAACTCATGATAATGCTCTACTGGTGGTAAAGGCTGGGTATCTGCCACAAGATTTCACTACTGTCTGAAAGTTTAAGTGTTGCCCTTAGATGAACATGATACTGGATCAAAACACCGCTGTACCCACAGCCAGGATTAAGTGAGTCTTTAAAACTTTAAGGGATAAAGAAAGTTTTATCAGCTGTGTCTAGGCAGATGTCCCTGACAGTCACAAATCCAGAACAGTGTCATTGTAAATATTGCATAAACTTATGTTTCAACTGTTTAGGATTCAGCTACTGTCCTGCTCAAGCTGCTCCAACAGCTTCCCATTTCTTAACTGCTGTCTCAGAGTGTTAACTTGCCAAGAATGAGAGTCTGAAAAAAGTGCTGTGTGGATAGTTTGTACTACAGAGCTGTGACCTACTGGCCTTGGTAGCAACGCCAACTAAAAGCCTGTTTGTGGAAGGAAAAAACCAACCAACCAGCCAAACTTCTTTGTTCCCCAAAATGTGTCCATTATGAACGAGAAACCTTGGGGCAGACGGGTGTACTTGTGCGCCCCAGCACATGCAGTCAGCTCCACCTGATGGCCCAAGAAGTACCACCAGGCTCCCTGTTATCCCACTCCTCTTTATGGAAGCTGTCATGGGGTCTAGTGCTGGAATAACAATAGAACTAACTAAATCTTGGCAATTGTCTCTTTCCCCAGGAGAGTGCTGGAAAAAGTCTTTGATGAAGTCATATTGGTGAATGTCTTGGATAGTGGGGATTCAGCACACTTGGCGTTAATGAAAAGACCTGAGCTGGGTGTCACACTAACAAAGCTTCACTGCTGGGAACTGACACAGTTTTCAAAATGCATTTTCATGGATGCAGACACAATGGTAAGCAGTCATGTCTCCTGGTACATCTTGATGACCTGGTATGGGGGTTGTTGGATTTTTTTTTTTCTGTAGGTTGTTTTTGGTTTTGTTGGTTTTGGGGTTTTTTTTGGAGGGGGGAGAGGTTGTTTGTTTGTTCTTTTTTAAAAGGAGGGGTAATAGAGGCCTTTTTGCTATTTGGACTATAACTCTAAAATATGCCTTTTTTTATCTAAATTAATTGTAACTAGTCTGTGGGTGCTATCTCCATAAAGTCTTGTCTACCATAAGCATCAATATGACAGCTTTTTTCCATGTCTTAAGGTGGATGTCAAAACCCATTAAAACATGATACCCCAATTCCTAACCTAAAAAACAGAAAACAATTTTTTACCCCCTTTACAACTAGGTTTTGTCAAATATTGATGAGCTTTTTGAGAGAGAAGAGCTGTCTGCAGCACCAGATCCAGGCTGGCCTGACTGTTTTAATTCTGGAGTTTTTGTTTACCGACCTTCCATTGAAACATACAATCAGCTGTTACAGTTTGCTGCAGAGAAAGGCAGCTTTGATGGTATGTATTATATTTCAATATAAGTTAGGCCAAAATGGCAGTAGTGGTTGGGATGGCTCAGTAACTACACATGTGTCACGGGGACTCTATGATAGAATTCTGAACATAACTACAGAAGAATTATCTCCTCCTCATGACAGAGGCTACCATTACAATATGTAGGAAAATTTTTTTCAGACTTCATGAAATAAAAAAGCCTCAGTTTGGCCCCCAAACTAGCAGCTGTAAGTGTTAGCAATGTACAGTCATGTAACAAGAACTCTGAAGATGCAGCAAGCACAGTGCATGCATTAGCAAAGGAAACTGCAGTACCATGCTTCATGCATTCCTAACGCTCCAAGGCTTGAATGTTCTATGCTAACTCAAGCTGCCCTGCAGTAGTACCGATCAACTGGAGTGCAGCTTCCGAGAAACAAACATTTGAAGATGTAACTGTCTCTTTATACGCTATATGATAGCTTCCTGTCATTATAGGGTGGTGACTGTCTTTTTCCCCAATATCAAGTGCATGTAGCCTTGGCTGCTTCCCACTGTGGATCACTTGGGATCAGCCACTGTGCCAGATTTAAACTTGAAAAGGCAAGTTCTGCTGTCCTGTAAGTCTCCTTACTAATCTATTACTATTGCAGTAAACGCACACGTTGCTTGAAGATGGCTATAGTTAAAGGCTTCTGGATGACTATCGCTGTCTCCTGTCACTAAATTCCATTACTTAACTACTGTGGTACAAAGCAAAGTCTAACTGAAAAAGCTACAGAAAATTACATAAATAAGACCATAAAATGGAACTCTTAAGAGCAGGTAATTAGCCAGCCTGTTAACTTACCTTTCAGTAATTTTAAAAAATTCTATCTGTCACTCCTGGTCTGCAGCATAATCCCTGTTACTGGGTGGACTCCTGTGTGCGGCCTCTGAAAGAACATTACTCACAGCTGGATGCTTAATGCTACCATATGAATAAACTACTGACAATGAGTACTGCAGCGTAATGAAGGGTCTGTCTGTACCTCACTACTGACAAGGTACCAGCTGGTAGCTCTAGGAGTGCTCTCGAGTGTTGGATGTAAATTGATCACTAGCTGTGGCAGAAGCTGTAGTGCAGTACTGAATTCTTGCATTCAAAAAAAAAAAGAAAACAACCAACCAACAACATTCCCACAAAAAAAATCCCCAAACCAACCCCCCCCCCCCCCCCCAACAAAAAAACCTGAACAAGCCCACATCTTTGTGCAAACTAACTGCTGAGTAGCTCCAGGAACATCTGAGACTTGGTGATTGTCTCCTCGGAGCTTTGTGCTCAACTGCTGGCAGACCCCATCTGCTAGTAGGGCTCCTGTCCTTTAAAAGAACAGAGCTGTTTCCACAATACACTTTCTGACTTGAAAGCTAAAGCCACATAATGGTGAAACTTCCTCAATGCCCTGAACGTGAAGCAATTGTGGCAGCTCTTAACAGCAAAAGTGGTGGGTTAGTGGTTTAGGTACCAAGTGTCTAGAACTGTAATTTGTAGTTCAGCTGTAAAATTTTCTCAGTTCTTATTAAATGGTAGCACTAATCACAGCACTAATCTGAGTAATGAGACCATGGAGACTTATATGACCTGCATACGCTGCTGCTGAGCTCATGAACTCGGTGGGGGGAAAGGGGATTTAAGCTTAAACTGACCCAGACAGTAATAAAAGTTCCTAGGAAACTTTTTATAAGAGAAACACCTGTGAAGGGTCACTGCCCTTACCAGGGCACAGGGATGCAAACTCAACAAGCTACCACACTGTGTGTAATTGAGGTCAAGCTCTAAGCACCCACTTGCCATAGTAGTAACTAGGGAATGCAAGACTTTCTGAGCATTTCATGTCTGTAACAACAGACAGGTGCCTGTTATGTACCGCTGTTGTCTGGAAATGGCAGGGTGATGGCTACTAATGTAGCTTTGTCCATTTGAACTTCACCTTTCTAGATAACGAGGAATATGTCATGCAATAATTCTAGATACCATTTAAAAGCAGTGGAGGGGAAAAAAAAGTTTGGTTTTAAAATAAATCTGGTAGTATTGATACCTTAAGAATGTTGCTATTGCTTCGACAATCCTCTGGCCCTTCAGCCTGGGATCCAAAGTAGTTGCTTTTGCATACAAAGATACAATGCAGCAAGATGGTATCTGTAGGTATGTAGCCAATGTAACTACTGCCGATTCTTTTGCCTTATACAAAATAAGACAGGTCCAGTTTATACAGCACGACCACTGCTGAAGTCTGAACTAGGACAGCTAACTGCTGTTTTCAGTGACTGCTTTGGCACAAACGCATGCGACCTGAAAAACAGCTGAGTATGTAAAACAATCTGAGAGAAAGTCCTGTAGAGTAAGGTAAATACATTGCTGCTGCCCCTCCAGCTATAAGCTGAGAGAGCATCCCAGACTTTCTTCTGTTTTACATGATCTTACCGTTAACATACGCATTATTAACACAGCATTAAGTCAGAAGTTCAGATGAAACATAGCTGAGTAAAGACCAGAGGACTTGTCTGGTTTCTCTGACTCTGCTCCCCTGTGATGGGCACAACTTCTTGAGAAGGGCTTTCCTTCCTCTGTGGGCTGAGAGGCAAGGCAGACGTTTGAAACTGCTGGACTGAGTCTCTAGGCAATTTCTCCCTCTGCGATCTGCGTGAATGCTGACAGCTGTAACAGGATCCGGTAGAATTTATATTTGTCAGTGCACTGCCTGTACCTCTGAGCTTATGCCCAGGGTCTAGGTACTTCAGCTGCAAAAAGCAAATTCTGCTCAAACAGCAGGGAGGGTGTAAACCTTTCTACTGCCCCAGATCTAATCATAGGCCAGTAAGAAACCCCTTTCCTGAATCAGCAGAGACCAAGTGCTTTAGAAGATTAAAGCATTGTCTCTTTTCTAACTAAGCTGTCCCTTTACTTACTCTTTAGCAATGCTACTTGTGAAAGCAGTTACAGGTGAAGGGCAGACAGCAAACGAAAGTGGAGGGACTCCCTACAATCTCCTTCGTAAGAGGAACTATTAGCACTTAAAGACTAAGAGTGTTCACAGCAATAAATAATGAATGTATATAAATAAGTAAATTTTACTTCTCAGTAGCTGCTTATAAACTAGTCTGCTTTGGGCCACACATTATTTCTTTTTGGTGGTGGTGTTTTTTAGCTACTCTACTACTGACATACCAACTTCAGACTTCTTTGACCTCATTACAACCTCTACTTGCACACTAAGAGGTGACCCCTCCCAACACAGTGGGTCTGGCTATAGCTTAGATCATCATCTTCACTCAGGGGTTAGTCAGCAGGTTTTTGGTACGGAACTAGGAACACCTATTGCCTGTTAAGGGATCTGATGAAGTTTTACTGGAGTTGTCACCAAGATGGAATCTGCTTTCCTTATCACCCTGTAGATAGATGCATCTAGGGCTGCAGGCCTAACAGACCACTGACAGCCTAACTCTGGCACTGAGATGTTGGTTCATGCATAAATAATAAAACTAATTGTTGGCACTGGATCTTCTGAGCTACAGCTTTCCTGAAGCTCCATTGTCGAGTCCTGTTTTTTGCTGCCTTACACAGCTTGAACTTGAGCTGTAAAAGAAGCTGAATGGCAGGGTTTGTGTGCAGCTTGCCATCTCTAGCAAAAGTAACCCCAAACATACTTCCTTTTTTCATTCTCTTCATTTTTTGTATTTTCAAAGGCTGCAGGGTTTACAGGGTTGTTCACAAATAGAACTCTGGCGCTCTAGGCCAAGCTCTTACTGGATATGACAACCGCATTACCAACTCTTAATTAGTGAAGTGATTGAAAAAAGATCCTAGAACAGTGATCTGATGCTTGTAGCCTATTAATCCTTTCTCTTTCAGGTGCAGATCAGGGGTTATTAAACACTTTCTTCAGCGGCTGGGCAACAACAGACATGAGCAAACATCTACCATTTATTTATAATTTGAGCAGCACTTCTGTATATTCCTACCTTCCAGCATTTAAAGCGTAAGTTCAAAACTCTAAGATGACTTTTAAAGCTTATATAAAATAATTTCTTGTAACAGAATGACCAGGCACAATGTGAACTTACACAGCTTTTCTAAAGGGAGACCATTATTGTCACTAAAAGAAGGTATAATAGTTTCCACTCTTAAAAAAGAAAAGAAAACAAAAACCAAAACCAAACAATTGAATTAACAGTAGTTAAATGAATCAGCTTATACATGCAGAGAGGATGCTGTATCTGTAGCTTAAACCACTCATGCCTGATGGTAACACCAAAGTAGATTTAGAGGAAACACATGTGACAGGTCACTTCAGAAGGAAGAACCACTACTCCAGAATGGGATACTGTCTGTTACAGCTCCAACCAACGGCACTAGCTCTTGAATCAGCTTGTGCTGAACTTCAGCATGTCACTGGTGGTACTGTTCCCACCTAGATCACCTGCCCTTTCCTCACTCAGTTACATAGGGTATTTAACAACCACTAGTTACAGCTCATCTATCCAACCTGCACCATTCAAATAAACAAGGTGAACGAAGACTTGTGTAAAGCTAGAGTTCTCTCCCAACAGTCTTTCTAGGTCTCAGACAGTTCCTTAAGTAACAGCAAGATGGAAGAAAGACTACAGCCACCCACACTACCATTACATGCTTCCTGTGTTAGGAGAACAACTGTATCCTTCTTAGGCAGCAGTGTTAGACCTGGCATGTGAGTAAACCCTGTGTCAGTGGTAGGGTCGCTCAGTGTTATAATAAATGCAGGAGGAAGGGGGAAGCAGGGGACGCTGAAATGCTGCACAGGGACTCTTATTCATTACGAGATGCAAAGGTGGGGGGGGCAGCGTGCAGAGTGAAAGTACCACTTGTGTAAAACCAATCTGATCTCTGAATGACATCAGGTTACTAGTGTCTGAAGCAGCAGCTAGCATAAGCAGGACTGTTGCTGGCTCAAGATCAAAATATGTCTTGTGATCAGAATACCATGTGAAATCCTGTCATGCTAAAAGTGGAACACTTATTTAAAGAAATATATGCAAGCCTAAGGATGACTAAGTAGTTGGATAGCATTTGATAAGCCAACATCTATTGTGAAGTGTCCTCTTTCCATGGCTGGCTGGTTGTTAGTCACCTCACATTGACCCTACATTTACAAATGACCTTGTTGCCACAAGAGACTAATTGGACTTGGCAGCTCCTGGCAAAAATTCCATTTAACTGATTGAATCAATTGCCTAACTGAATTCAGCAGAACTCCAAAAGTGGAATATGGGAAGTGCAGCCCTTTTAGGAAGAATGTCCTGCTCAATAGGTGGAACAATTTCCCTTGGTTAGATCAGCAGCTGTACTCCTGATAATCAGCAGTTGGAATAAAGTGAAATTTAAATCTACTGACATAAATAGCTAAGTTTTTCACAGCTTTGTACAGCGAGACTAGATTTCACAGCAGTCTCAGTAATCCTTTTTCCAAAGGAAAATGCCAATTCATGACAAATGCTCTCTAACTTCAAAACATTGATGAAGGACTTTTCTGGGAGAGGGGGAAAGACAGATTAGTTGCTGAGGCCAGTGTGGACATAAAGCTTCCTAACAGTTGAGCTTAAATGGCAAAAGAAAGTATTTGCAGATCTAAAAAGTATCTAAAAAGCAGATACGGAAAACATCACAGAAGTTTGGCATCTGTCAACTGTTGTACAGGTCTTATGTGGACAGAATACTAAGAATACACTTCTCCATTTGCAGCAAGTGTAACATCTAGGCATTCTCTTGCTTAAATAGCCTTGATTTTTAAACAATGACACGTTTCCTCAGAAAAGCAGCAGCTTAAGGTGAAGAAAACTCAGTCTGTTAAGTAGTGCTGTGACAGCTGATAAAACTAAGGTAGTCCACTTATGATAAATCTTGACAAATAGAGTTGAAAGTTAAAGCCCAGGAACTGACTTTTTGAAGAGAGATTTTTTTTTCCCTTGCAGTCAGTGCAAATACTTGACCTTGTTTCACACATGTATAGGCTTTCATTTTGCAGTAAGATCAGTTGCGTTCAAAACATTGAACGTGAATGTTGGAATATAGTCAAGGATCGTACAATAATACAAAACCCCCCACCCAAATGCATATTGCCTTGTTTTGAATATTCTAAAATGTTTTGAAACACACCTGCATAGTCTCCTTACGTAAAACTCCTTAAACAACCGAGTCCTGGCCAAAATTATGAGGCTGTGCCTAACAAAATGTCAGATAAACTCATTTGGCATTATTATCCATTTTAATCAAATTATATTGAAAAGAAATCCTAACATGGTGCAAACTGAACTAGGTGAGACAGTCGCTGCTACTAGAGAGACTGGTATTGCTTGTTCACAAAACAGATTCGGGCTGAACTCTAGTTCTGGAACCACAGAAGAATAGAATGAAGGCTGTCTCTTCTGTTGTTAAGTTCTTTACTTCAAAAGGGCTGCATCTCATCTGCACTCTTAATGCAGAAGAACATACTGCTAACATCTGGGACAAAGCTAGAGGTCAATACTGAATATGGAGTTAATATTAGTTTTAAAATGAAACAAATAAAAAAGCCCACCACCACAAAACCCACCCAACAGCTAAACTGAGGTTCTCTAGAAAATAACAGTTGGTTGCCTAGCAAGACCCTGCTGCACCAAGATCAGAACTCCTCTGACGTGCCTAGGTTTTACAAAGCTATTATTTTGCAGGGACGCAGCCTTCCTGCAGCACGACCTTCCAATGATCCTTTTCTATAGGGCTGTACACTGAAAGGGTAACTCTAACACTGACCCTTCCCTACATCATGCTTGTAATGCCTGACTATCTGGATCACTGACTTTGGAGTAGAATCTTTTTCACTTTTAAAACCAGTTCCGATTGCAACGGCTGCTTGAGACTGCTCTCTCCTGAGCTATGGACATCACTCTACCTAAAGACTTGAGTTGGCTGTAAGTACTTAAATAGCCCAGACCCTTAGGTTTTGGCTGTATTCTGACTAGTGTAATGTAGAATTCAGTCTGCATTTTTTCTGTTGTATAGCGATGCTTTCAGTCCCAGTAGGCATTGGCAGTTTAATGATTTAGTGTTTAGAAATATTCATATTTCTGTCTTCTGGACACCTATGGAAACTGCAGGTTAAAAAAAAAAAAGTCTGCTAGTCAAAACTCTTGTTTTTTAGACACCTGCACAAACTGTGGGTTCTAACTTTTCCTGTCCAACAGGTTTGGTGCAAATACTAAAGTGGTGCATTTCCTGGGAAGCACAAAGCCATGGAACTATACATATGACTCCAGAACAAAAAGCATAAAAGGCAACATGGACGACCCTAAAATAGTTCATCCAGAATTCCTCAACATGTGGTGGAATACCTATACAGCTAATGTTTTACCATTACTAGAACAGCACGGAATTGTTAAAGAAAGTACTTCAGGTGTAAACATGGTACGTGCTTTAATATTCTTGTAGAAACTACCTAAGCATGGATGACAGGTTCTTTACCATTCCACTGGTTTCCCTTCCTTCCGTCCAACTCAAAGCATGGGTGTGGTTAAGTTTGTGGGATACGGGTTTTTTTGGTTTTGTTCTTTCAAGCTTGGAATAAATAATACTACAGAAGAGAAGCACACTATAGTGGTCTTGAATGTAGCTGTCTGCTTGCCTAAAGCAAACTACAGAACTAGCTAATGGTGCACCAGAAATTATAGTGACTTCTTTAGTATACACAAAGAAGGGCCCGAACTCTTAATGTGTTGCAGCTAATAAGATTCTCAACCAGAAGAACCCCAGTTCAGCATGCAATATGTACATATGGATCTTGCATGGTGAAACAAATCTGGGTAAGCCTAGGATAACTAGAGAATAAATACTTATGTAGACTGTCAGTGATGCCAAAGTAATGCTTCTGACTCTAGTTCTCATTCCCTGAGTTTAGCAGCTTGGATCTGACTGCAGACTTTATAGTCTTAGCTTAGGACGTGGGCCAGTTTAAGCTCTCAACCTTTCCCAGACCAAAGTTAATGATCTCTTAAGATGTGCTTCCTCTTGTTAATCTTACATCTTTTAACGAACTATTTGCAGCTATCGGGCTTGGGCTATACGCTGGCTTTCTCTTGTGGCTTCTGTAGAGAGGTATGAAGAACTTAAACTTTTTTTTTCTTTTCCTCCCTAACTTCTGTAACTCTGCTTTGTTATTTTGCTAGGAAAGCTGCACAATCCCTGCCCATTGCCAATGCTTGCTGCTGCGCATGAGAACGTCTACTTCGTTATCCCATTCTATGGCCTGTTGCTCACTTTAGCTATGCAAAGTATTTCTATATTTTTACTCTGCCTTTCCTTTTAGGCAGAGGTTACAGAGGCAGTCTCCCACATATCAATATCAGCACCATCACCAGTATTACCAACTGTATCTTCAGAAGAACGCAAGGAACGGTGGGAACAGGGCCAAGCTGACTATATGGGAGTGGATTCCTTTGACAACATCAAGAAGAAACTTGATACCTACCTTCAGTAGAAATGCCTGTCTCAAACAGTGGTGACGCAAGGACTTGTTCCAGAACTAACAGCTAGAAAGGTATAGATGGTGGTCAGTTACACTTGCTAGTAGCTTGATGAAAAACTTCTTGGCTGAAGGCCTCTGCAGTGCTACAGATGAAGACTGAGCAAAAGCTAGGAAGCAGAATTGCTTGGGCCACCTGTAACTGCCCAATTTCCAATTCTCCCTACTAGATAAAACCAGGTATTTTCAGCTTAAATTTTCTTCTGTTGTGATCAATTGGCTCAACATATTCCTTGAAACTGGGTTTGTTACCTCGCCTTATTAAGGTGATTAGCATTGATTCCTTTGCTTGCTGTTTTAGATGTAAAATCTAATTCATGGGATTGCTCATACACTAGATTGGTAGCCATTCTGCTTTACCATAAATGTATTAATGACACTGGGATACATACAGATATAACAGTAATAGCACTGCTTTGCTCTTCCAGTCACAATTGCACTGAAGTTTTGACCAGGTTCTTACGCACAGTGCCTACAGCATGGCAGAATGCATTTTTCAGTTCTGTATACTACGGGACTAGTAAACTGAGTTTTATCTGTTACTTGCAATGTTGCACTTGATACAAAAATAAAAAGTTGTCATGCATTTCTGGCTTTCCTAAACTCTTGAGCAATTAGGGAAAAAAAAAAAAAGAGGGAACTCTGAAGCAGTCTAACTTTTAGTTCTGTAATTGTTTATAAAGCATATAATCATTTGTCAGGGAGCTGTTTAGAGCAGATCCCCTTATTAGCTTGCCCTAAGTATAGGACAGGGCAGTGGAGGAATTACCTGCTGAAGCTACTCACATAAGCACTATGGAGCTTGAGAAGAGGGAATCTTTCAGTGACTAAAGAAACATCATCCCTAACATAAACGCTGTACACGGTGACTTTGTTTGTGAACACAATGGTGATGCTATTTTGGCAGAGAAAGACTACATAGCTGCTTAAGTAACTGTACCTACCCTGATTAGGAAAACTACTCTTTCCATATGTGCAGAGAATAAAAGAAAGTGCTTTTTGCCACGCTCAGGCTACACATTGTATTTTAAGACACATGGAAAAGCAGCAGAAATACCACAGTAACAAAAGCATGCTGCAGATAGACAGAGACTGGTCGTTATCTGTACTAAGTTTCAGATCCATCCTTAAGGCACAATTCTAAACTGAACCAAATTACTTAGTGTTCTGTCTTTGACAGCCATGCTCTGTACTAGCCAGAAACACCAAGAAAATATTATTTCATTATTTGCTAATAAAGGATTTTGGCAGGAAGCTAGTGAGGGTGCTAAACTTTTAGCTTAGTGATAAAATAAACCATCAACAAGCTCTCACCATTTGCCGGTAAAGCAGAAGACTTAATCTGGGTATGAGAGTTCGTCTGTTTTACTTTGTTTTCACTACTTAATTGCTGTAAGATTCCTTGGTCACCATTTAGCAAAAATGCTAAAGATGAGATCCAAACTAAAGTAGCTTGTAGCTATTTTAAAAGTGCATAGCATCTGAACTCCCTGTTGTAACTAGCTCTTTCCAGTGTGGGGTTTTCTTTTGCGGTGTTGGGTTTTTTTAACAGTTAAATTTGAAGTTGTGTGAAAGCAGAAGGGATTATTAGTTACAATCTGTAGTGAGAGAAGTATACTTTATCCAACAAGTACAAATATTGGAGTTCTGCTTGCTCACAAAATACTCTGGAAAATGGTAAAATACTCTTTTGATGACAGCTAAATAGTCTTAGTTTTACCCCCCCTTGTCTGTATTCATACTAGAGAATAGGCACGTTAATTCTTTTTAAGCTTAGTTAGAGAGAACTGAAAGTATAAAAGCATGAGACTATACCAACCTGAGAATTTGGTTTAGCATGTAAGTTTTGTTACATTAATTCAAGAAGATAAGGAGAAATGATGAATAAGATGAAAACCTGCATGTTTTGGGTTAACAAATATAGGTAGTAAAGAAAGAAAACCTATGAAACTATTTTGTTCTAGCCTCTGTGACTCATACTATGGTCAAGTGTTCACCCACAGCCTCAGGAAAGCGAAAGGTATGACTTCTATGCCAAACTCTATGCTGCTTATTTTCAATAAAATGACCTTTATGTTATTATCTACCACTATTTCCTTCATAATTATTGCAGGCAGCATTTGCAGAAAAATAGAGATCCCTTTTTATCCCTTGTAATAGCATCACTTGATACATGAAACCATTTTCTGCTCTAAACTGTACGTACTCAGAGCAGTAACTGAGTTAAAGCACTATACTCAAAACATCATTATACAGCAGAAGCAGAGCCCAGTTTAGATCATGACTTAAGTACTGGAAGTCCACTTGCCTTTAAAAAACATATGATCCAAGGTATTCCTTAGATGGTGACAGCTCAGAGCAACTCTTAAAAGGTTAGAAACTTCTTTTTTTTTTTCATTTACATCTTTATTGTATGTAGGGGGTAAGAAAAACCCATAACAATAGACTACTAACTCAGTCTTTGGAAATAAAAATGTTAAGTTCATCATTCCAAAAGCTCATTTCTAGAACATGCCACAGAACATACCATTTGAACTCCAGGAAAGAACACCAATAGCCAAAGACTACTTCCAGATCATGAAAAGCAAAAAGAAACCCCGGACAACCAGAACACCATGGTTTTTAGCCACCCCAGTAACTGAACAGGTCCATCAAATCAGACAGGACTTCTCTGCTTTCAGCTTTGATCTGTAACTATTCTCTTGGATACATTAATGGCTTTGTTGGGGGAGGCGTTAACGAGCCATGAAGCTTAGTACTAACTCCAGTAAGTTTTTATTTGGCTTTGGAACATGGAAACCATCATCTAGTAGACGAAAAATGATAATAGTAATTGTTTCCATAATCATAACTCAGCCATTCTGCAAAATGTCAGCATATTTTAACACAAGTAATGATGTGGCTTGACTAGCCATTGAAATGGGTCTCTTCCTCATGGAATTTTAACTTGGAAAATGGAAAGAATAACACAAAGGTAAAATCTCTTTCATAATCATGAATTATTTCTCCATCTTATCTCTAAACATCAGAATCTGAACCACAAAAACCCAAAGAAAGTTTAACTCACATAAATTCTATGAAAAAAAAAAAAAATCCGGTGTAGCTCTGTTTTCTTGTTCTATTGTCACCTTCCCAGGGACAACCAATTACTAGGGTTCACACTGTCTCCCATCATTCATGTCTTTTTAATTTTTCTCCAACAGACTTAAAACACACTTTTCCCCATAGCTAAGATGCTGGCTCCCCAAAACTGCATCAGCTTGTTAGGTTACATATTTTTAATTCCTTTCTCACTCCTCCCATTGGTTCATTGTTTCTCCAAATATCAGACATTGTCCCTTTATTTCTCAGTCCTTTTCAGTTTCCTATGTTTGCAATTCATCTTACAATAAATTAATCTTATAATGTTATTCACAGACATAAGAAAAGGTGAAAGGCATTAGAAGCAAATCAGATTCCATTTCTCTGCTGCCAAATACACTTCCTGAATCTAAACATAGAATCTAAATGGGACCTAAACACAGCAATCTCCACCTCCAATTCTGCGTGTTACAGGGAAGGCAGCATGGTGTTAGGAAAACACATAACAGAAGACCAGAATCAAACAGAGACAGAAGGAACAGAGAAGAATATTGAACTGTATTGAACTGAATATTCAGCTGAGATTCTTCAGTGCGATTTATTGCTTTGCAGTACGTGAATGAGTAGTTTACCAAATTCTTCCTCTATAAATCAAGATGCATGCAGATCAGCATTCCATTAAGACATAGGTAAGGGATGGGAGAAGCACTTAGCCATGCAAGAAAAGTGTTAGAAAGCTGTCAGCTATTAAAATAATTTGGTTTGTTTGATTTATTTTGCAAGGGCTAACTGAATCACTGACAAGTGCGTCATATTCTACTTTGCACGTAGCACAGCTGTATTGTTCAAAGTGTGTACAGAAATTATTAGAAAGCTTGTTATCAATACAAGCCTATGATTCTAGCATTTTGTCCAAACCACAAACCCTTTACTTTTACAAAAATCAGCAGAATTCTCTTTAAGGGAAGTAAAATATTAAAAGAAAGTGCTTTACAAATTTAAGTACTTAATTTTTACTAGCTCCTGGGAAGTAATCAACAGTGGAACTCCTTGCTGCACCTGTGTATTATTCAGAAATAGTAAAAAAATATTTTATAATTTTAAATTAAATACCATTTTTGAACATAGTCTGCAAAAGTAAGAATTCCTATGAAGTGATCACTAACCACCTGTTCTGAAACAAACAACCCAGAAGATCTGTTTGGTTTTCAGGAAACATTGAAAGATTAAGCTAATTAACTTCTTAAAGGTTTTGTCTGAAGGACAAAACAGACATTATTTACCTTTTGTTACCTTTTCACCTCTAAAAAGAGATTAAATTCTTGCAAATTAGAATGCATGAAGATGTACTTATGTTTCGAGGGATTTTTATGTATTCTTAAGCGTTGTAAATAATAAGCAACATTTCAAAGAAATTAAGGCTGGAAAAATTTCAGGACTGCAAAAGAAGTTTGTGTTTATAAATTAACATTTAGGAGCAAAGTAGTTTTTATAATTAATTTGAAGCGTTTATGTTTTGACCACAAAGACAGCAAAACTAAAATGAGACATATAACTTGAAGAGCAATATTAACTAAAATATTAAACACATTATTTACTCAAAATAACACAGTTTCAAGCTATAAATCAATAAGAGCCTTAATTTCATTAATTTTGGTTTGTTTTACATCACTTGCTGAAGGCTTTTTGGTAGCAAAGGCTCCTGCTGCAAGTTGCCTCTTCTTGTTCTGAATTTTCAGCATATTTTCTTCCACTGAATCCTTCACAATGAACTGAAATACAAAAAAAAAAAAAAAAGCCCCACTGAAATTAAGGGGTTTTTTTGTTTGGTTTTGGTTTTTTTTTTCAATTAAAAGTTTAGGATGAGAAATGTAGGTACATTGGACAAAAAAAGTTAAAAAGCTGAGAACCCTAAAGCACAGGTACAGTATTTAGTTATTACTTTGTAAAGAAAACACAAGAGGGAAGGGCTATAAAGCAGCTGGAGGCAAAGCTTTGGCATTTTAGGTTTTTTGCCCTTTAAAAATAACATATATATTGGAAAAATCTCTCTCTCTTCTTTGCTACTTATAGAAGAGAATGTGTCTTCGATTTCTCAAGTAATATTTTTGGGACTGGGTGTTAATGAGACAGACCAGCTGCTCCTCCACAGCTAAACAAGGTGCTGTGAGGAAGCAAAAGCATTCTACGTACCTTCAAGACAATAAACTGTAATAGCCAGGCTAGGCAACAGCAATACTACCCTGTCTTAGTCACTCCAAACAGCTCAACAGGGACATCTAATTTCTGACATTATAATTTCACAGGAAATAAGTTACATTTAATAAAAATCTTACAATCAAAAGCACATATTTCAAAAAATCACAATTTAAGTTTACTGGTGAGACATATGTTGCCACAATTCTTTTAAAATACTGTCCATCTTTTTGGAAAATAATTTATTTATTCATAACCAGAAAACTGTTCAAACAGACCATCTCTCAACTCACCTTAGTAATAACAACATCACACTTCTGACCCAGCCTGTGACACCTGTCGAAACACTGGTCTTCTGCAGCAGGATTCCAAGCCTAGGAGTAGCACCAACAAACGAGTTAAATAACCTGCCTCCAAAACACGTAGTAAGATGCACACAAAGAAGTTATCGTACCATCAGCTCTTGGACAAATATTGCTTGCAGATTAATTACTCCTAATGTCTCACCCCTTACGTATCCCACTATAAAGAAAGCTTTGAGAACTTCTGGTTATGTATTTATAACGAGCAGGAACTTCAGGTAAATTCTTTAAAAACTGTTTGTCAGGAGTGCAGGAGACATCAAAACAATCTCGTGATAATTTTATTTTAGAATTAAACAGTGCATACATTAACTACCTCACTACCCTCTTCCTGATAGCAAAATCTAAACCAGCTGAACACAGGCAGTTATTTGTCAGCTGACAAAGTCCCCTGACTGTTAAGAAAGCCCACGTACACTTCCATTAGTGTATGCAGTAATCACCAAGTTAGGGAAAAACACGAAACTTGCTGAATACAAATGGTAGTTTAACTGTTCCTACTTATGCTTAGGATGTAACACTAAATGTAAGAATTTGTGAAATGCAAAGTTTGTGCTCTGCATTTTTGCAGCATCTTTTTTCTATCTAAAGGCATAGTATTACTAGTTCTCACAGAATCAATATTTAAATCTACCTAAAGTTTAATACCATTCTCTCTGTGATAAGCAAGTCTCATGCAATGGGCTCACCTTACCACGTCACTCACGTACTGAAAGTTATCTGCAAACTCTTAATGACTCCTTTCTAAAGAAGGGGGGGAAAAACAGCACTAGGCTAGAATCTAAAATGAAATTTTTGTGCTAAGAACCTCTGATGCCTAAACACACTTAAGACATCAGGCTGCAAGATAAAAGCCAAACAGCTCTTGTTTCTCGAATCTAAGGTAGTGAGCAGAAGTTCAACAAATGACATATCTGTCACTGCAAGAGGAACATGCCTGGCAAGCTATGCCTGGCAAACCATTCCAATACCAACCTGACTGTACAAACAAGGTGATGTCTTGAGGAAAGACCTAGCCCAAACGTGCACAAGCATGTTCTATTCTATCTTTGCTGTAGACAAGGTGGACCAAAGTGCACTGCCCTCACTCTTCTCTCAGCAGTACAGCAAAGGAAAACTGCACTGCAATACCTCTGTCCTTCTGCGATATCCCGTACAACGGATACTATATTTTACGTGGGAAAAGATGAAGAAACTTGAGCCTCAGAGAAACATCCGTATACTTGTGATACTCTCACATTAAAGGCTCACATTTCTTCCTAAAGGTGAGAATTCAGCAGATATGATTGTACTTAAACAAACAAATAATAATTAAAAAAGAAAAAAGGGAGGGGAAGAAAGGAGTCTGTGGTTGGATAAACGTTCCTGCCTTGCACTGCGGGATAACACCTCTCAGAGAAAGAATGCACACCTCTACGCTACAGTTCTACAACAAATCCATAGGATTTGAGTAGAAAAAGTGGTTACTCCACTGGGCCCAGAGGTGGTCTACTTCTTAAATCCTATTAACTGCTGCTAATTCCCTTCAAGGAATGCTAATGCACGATCGAATCTCATTCGGCAATGAACATTCAAAAGTGAGATCAGAAAGGATCTGTGGTGCCACTGCCCCTTCATCAATACAGGCAGTCAACCCCTGCCGCGTGGGATGGTGACAGGGTGGTGGCCGGCAGGATGAGAAGTTGTTCAGCAGTGTACAAAGGCTGCAGTTATATCTGGCTCTAGTTTGTGAGGTATAACCGTACACTGTGGATGACTCAGTGCTAACAATGCTTAGCTTATTTTCTTACAACAGCTTCCTGCTGCAGGATAGTGTCTGCATTATACCTCATTAATTATCTTCACAGAAAATGAAAATTCTCTTGGACTTTCCACAAGCTTTCTTATTCAGAGAGTTGTTTGGTTTTTTTTTTAAAAAGCAGGGGCGGGGGGGAGGGGGCAGTTGGACTAGATGGTGGTGTAGGTCCCTTCCAACTGAACTATTCAAAGCCACACAAAGAAACAGTACTTGGGAAGATGCACTGCAATTAATGAAAACCCTTTTTCCACTGCAACTTCTCCATACTCTCACTCATATTTAATTCTGTCAATTTATTAAGTAAATAGCTTTTGTCTTCATGCTGTTATTATCACTAACCTGATGTCCAAGCTAGTATTTTTTATTTACTATTGGTGTTACCAGATGCTCAACAAAAGCTACACTATTATTTTCATTTACTTTGGTTTTGTTTTCAAGTGCACAAACTGCAGAATTTGTCTCAGTTTCCAACTGCCAAAACACTAGGACACAGAGTAGTGGGGAAGGGAAGAACTGAACAGAAAAACCTCTGTTTTGTACAATGACACAAGACATGAATCAATTCTGTTAAGACTACCATTTTGCTATCAATAAATGTAATTTACATTTTTATTCCTTACAAATAATTTTGCATTCCTGAGTGCTTTAATGAAAGGAAAAAACTTCCTGAATTTATATACTGCCATCTTTCTCAGTCTCCTGCAACCACAAAAAGTAACCTTAGACTAATGTCTTTACTTATAAATAAATTCACAAAAATAACAGAAGAGACTAGAGGAGAGGAGCCCTGCATTATAACACAGAAAAAAATTACACTGTTTCTGACATTCCACTTCATGGCTTTTGAAGTTGTGAAATAGAACAAAGAGAAAACTACATTCAAAAGTATCAGAAAGAAATAAAGAAGGAACTGATATCAAATGCTACACTATAAAGTGTCACAACACTTATGTTGACAGTACTACTAGCATTCATTCCATTCACAGTAAATAAATGGACAGCACAAAAATATTGTGTTAAAACAGAAACATGGCAGGGAAACAAATGAAGAAAGGCCCTATTTGCCCTTTAACAGATACTCATCAGTGTTGTTCATTCTCAGAGGGGCTCTCCTACCTCTTAAGAAAACACCAAAGGAGCTTCACCGAGCTTAAGCCACATCATTATGAAAAACCCATTACTCACAGGATCCATTAAAAACACTCGGGAAGCTGCTGTCAGATTTAATCCAACTCCACCAGCTTTCAGAGACAAAAGCATTACAGTTGGGGATCCTGCTTGGCTGCTTTGGAAACACTGAATTGCTTCTACTCTTTTCTTCTGTGCCATTGACCCATCCAAACGAGTAAAGACAAACCCTGATTCTCTGAAGAGAAAGTAAACATGTTCAATTTAACAATCCCTTTTCTGTGAGAACAGGAAATAAATATATTAAAATCCTGACCTCCTCTTTGAAAGGCATATTTAAAATTCTGCATTTCACAGGTGGTATGTTAAAAATAACTAGAATGAAATTTATGGCTTTATTCTGCTAAACAAAGTGTTTAAGTAATTTGTTCCTCTTCTGAAGTTCTAAAAGTCGAAAGGACACTATATTCTTTGAGAGATCTTTCTAAAACACCGTAAAAGCATGTGTTTATTAAAAATGACAGTAATTCTACTTACTTCAAGGGATTTTCTATCAGTGAGAGGAAACTTGTGAACTGAGAAACAACCAGACATTTAGAAGTTGGATTATCCCTCCGTAGTTCTATCAAAGCATGCATGAGAGCATTTATCTGAAATTGAATGAAGATTTACACAGTTTATTCTGACTTGTGGTTAGATTCTACTCCTACAGGTGCTTCCATAAAGTTCACATCAGCTGAGAAATCACTGTCCAGTAAGTAATACCTTTTAAACAAGCTAATCTTAAATTCTGTGGGTAGGGTTTCTTTTAGTTTCCAAAGGAAACTAAGGGTTGAGCACTTTTAATGGTCCCAAACTACAGGGTGACTGATGGGGCTTTGGGGAAGAGGATTCTCAAACCCCTTCTCCAGACATACTTCCCACTGTTAGGAGTCAGCAAGTCCCCTGCCTCCAGGGCATACGGAAAAAAGCAACAGAGAACTCCGAAAAGCAAGGCTTAAGCAAGGGACAGCCACAGGGCAAGCGCTCTACTGTAGCAGTATTCAAGAACCGAGAAAGGCTCCCCCAGGAATATTCAGGCAGATAAGCTATGCAAGACCCTTGGCTGGGTGTAACTGAGGATAAGAAGTACCAGAAGCACTCTTGGGACCAACGCGAGAACCAAAGGTGCAATGAACTGGATCTGAGGAAGAAGAACATTGCCAGTTTTCCCTTGTAAGGTTTAGCTATGATGAGGTAAAGAACCACTAACTACAAAGTGCAAGTCACTGCACCAGGTAAAAAAGGGATTAAAAAAAAATTTTTTAAAAAATCTTAACTTATTCTAGAGCAAAATGTCCTAAACTAGTTCTTAGGTCTCCACAGAAAGATTTTTAGGGAATAAATTTATAACCAACTTTTGAAAGAACAATAATTTAATTACAAATTAAAATTAAAAATGTAACGTTTCAGAAAAGCAATCTCAAAAAGGTCAAAGTGCAAGCAGGAAGATTTAATTTCTGGCAGCAAATGCCCAATGAAAGTGAGACAAAAAACATTGCGGCAGACCTTGAGAAACAGGTCTGCAAACTAAAATAAAAATATCTCACTGTTTTATCTGACAAGTGTTATATTAAATATATGATGCCCATTTAGTTTTCCCCTCTAAAGCAGAATATATGTTCTTTAGACAAGTTTTAAGAAAGAAGGATTTATTTAGATTTTTAGTTTCCAGAAGTAAGAGCTGAATAGTTTTGGTGGTTATAGAACTACTCTATCTTCAGAATCAGAAACAAAAGGCAAAGCAACAGCTCTTTTACTGAAAGTTGTATTTAATTAATACACATCTATGTACTGCACAATGACCAGCATCTAATTACAACTGGTGCTCCTTTTGTCTGGTTTCCCTGCTGCAAAATTTATTTGTGATGAGAGTTTTATCATGCATTTTCTCCTGTACAGGCTAGACAGACTTTTAAATAATACTTTAAAGTATGTTATGCATATGTAAAGTATGTTCAACATATGTAAAAATACTAGAGGAGTGCTCTGCAAAACCATAATGACAGCCAAGTAAAACACAATGGAATGTACCTTTGAACTGGATATCCACTCCTGATGAGACGTCTTTCCATTACTGGAGTCTATTTTCTCTTCTAGGGGACTGTCCACCAAGTGCTCTACTCGAAGCTCATTCCTACAGAGAGGGCATCTGGCATTTGGCTATGAAAAAGCCCAAATAACATTAGAAAAAACGTATTAAATCAAATTGTACATAGTGAATACCAAAGATCACCTTTACAAAGCTCCTTTTGTGGAATTATTATATTGGTGTTCATACAAAAAATCCCGAAGGAGTACATTCATTCTTGTAACTCACTGCTTTGTCATTTCTGACACAACAATCAAAACACTTCATTTGTGAGAACATTAGGGTGGCATAAACGTGACACGTTTTAAAAACACTCAGCCTTCCTTAAAAGCTCTTCTTTCTGAGAATATTTATGCTTGAAATAAGCAGCTCAGTATTTAAAAGCAAGCAAATACTTGGGCTGTCAGGAGAAGACTATTTAAAAATATCACAAAAATAAACTCTTTCAAAGACGAGATCTTTCTTAGTTACAAACAAAGAATGACCTTTTACCCTTTTTCTTCAAAGCCTGCACAGAAATAATAGCAGGCTGATGAAATATGCTTTGTCAGGGCCAGACACAGGGTATCTTCTCTTTTTCCCCAACAGACATGAGAAACAAGGTATAATTTAACACCAAAAGCTTTTTTCTCTGAAGCATACTCTAGATAAGGAAAAGTTTTGAATTTATACAATAGCACTTTCATAGGACTACTCACAAAATCTAACAAAAGACAATGTGCACTATACAAATACACAACTTTGTGAAGCAAAAATGACAGGCATGGAAAACCTTTGCCTATCAGAGCAAACCTTTAAAATTAGCTAACTGGGTTTATATGGCGATCTGGCCACAGAACCAAGGCAGCTTTAGACAGGCTGCAAACCAAGACTGGGGATGCTGATCTGGAACAAACCTCTAACCAATTAAAGAGGCTGGCAGTCATCATCTGCATACCTCCATTTATTGCAGCAATAAAAATACCCTTTCAAGACAGAGAATCCTAACACAAAGGAATCTGAGATAACAGTGTCCAAAACATAGTTACGAGTGAACAATTCCTGATCTGCCAACAATCCAAAAATCCTCCAATGATGAGACAAAATACATGAATTCTATGAAATCTGAAAAAGTTTTCTGGAAAAAAAAATCCCAACAGTTCTCCTAATGACTTTTTTTTTTAAATAAAAGGCTCACATCTTTCTGTATCCCTTCTCCAATTTAGCAATGTAATTAAAAATCAACAGAAAACCCAAAACACAGCTGAATAATGCCAACACAGATATGGAAGACTTGCATATGAAAGTGAAAAAAAGTATCTAGTGATCAACAACTAGAAGAAAAAAAAAAAGAATGTTTTAATACATATCTGGCAAGCTTTTACAAGAATGCAGTTAATACACGAAGACATTAGATTACTGTGGAGATTTTATAGCTTTATTGGGACTTCTACATAGGATCTTTACTTCCTTGCACAACTCTGACGCTAGCCTCAATGAAAGACTGAAATGAAGAAGGCGTTCACTCTCAAGCTGTTAACTACTAAAAAGTTTTTCCAATTTCAGTAAATACTTTTAGGTTACCATTAGAGAGATAAAATGGTCTCCAAGTTTGTATTACAATGAAAGGCCCAACTTTTCACTCAGCAGTTCTCTGTTGGCAGCTTCACATCCCATTCCTCACTGATAGCTTAATGCTCTCGTTTGTATTAATAATGGCACCCACAGGCATCTTGCCTGGAAGAATCCTGTCTGAATCCAAGTTGTTTTGGGGGAAGGGGTACGTGTCTGTTGGTCTTCTTTGTTTTTACAGTGGTAAGTAAAGTACTTTCCCAAGCTATTTAGGAGAGAGTTGCACTGTAGTCATCCAGGCCACAGGAACAACCTAACTGTGCAGCACTAGGACAAACCCCTGTCACGTGGAAACAGCGAATTCTCTGACTTTGAATTTAGATGTCTGTCAGTGCTTTGGCTGGAAGCTGCAAAAACATCCTTGGGAATTGATTTAAATCTGAAATCAGTCTGAACATAAGAAAGGCTTACTCATTCGCTACAAAATCACAATAGTTCAACTTCAAAAGGGCAGAGCCACCTCTGTTCAGACCTCACTACTATGCAAGCAATCTAGGGAACAATGTGGGATGGGACAAAGGCCCTAGTTCTGCAGATTCCAAGGTCCTTTCTAGGCAAAGCATAGTGAATAACTTGACGCTACAGTCAAGTAACACAGGTTCCATCATGTTGTAATCAGATTTATTTCTCTGCAAGCCTAGCAGGGGCACGAACTCTGCTACAGACACATCAAGAACCTCAGCACTGGAAAAAGGCCTCTGCAAGTGCTCTTTCCTTAGAGAATAATTTCACATCACTAGTTTCCCTCAAAATTCTCAGAAACTCTCGACTGGAGTATCTGCATCAGAACCTTGCATGTCTGGCAATGGAACAAAGCCAACCTACGTACCAGACAGACAACACTTCCTACCTTTGTCTTGTTAGGCTGACTGGTCATGCACAAGCAGGGACTAATTTGTCCCCTGCTGCCTCCTACAAAGAACACCACCTAGGTTTAGCTGGGCACTTGCAGCACTACGGTGGCTGAGCAGGAGGCAGAACAATTCCAGAGAGGAAGTACAGCAGCATCGGATACAGATGGTGAGGCTACTACACTATTAGATTGCCCTAGAAAGGAAAGGGCAAACAAGAAAGAAGAGTACAGCATAGAAGCGCACAAGAAAAATAAATACTGTATTTTCCAAAGAAGCAATCAAAAGATGCTCATCCACATGCTGCTTCTGGAGAAAGTCCAGAGAAGGGCTGTAAAGATGACCCTCTAGCAACACAACTATTTCACTGCAGACAGTTGTCAGCTTGAAGTAAGGAGAATAGACATGGTTTTAGTTCAACTTCCAATACACGGCTTTGGTCTCTTTTAAGCACAACAACATATACATCACACCACATACAAGCAGCGAAGAGGCATCCAGACATATGGAGGTGCACGATGTTCCACTGGATGCCATCACTTTTACCCCAAGGACAAAGTAAGGTTAGAACTAGGGAAAAGGTCTTTGAAAATACTGATGACCTTAACACTGTTCAGTTTAACAGCTACTTTCTCCACAGGTTGACTTCAGGCTAACAGTTTTTATAACCCAGCTGATAACTAGGCTTACACTGTTCACCGTTTATGATTTAAAAGAACAATAGCTAGATGACCTTCTGATGATACCAGCTCATTGCTTTTGGATAGCTATTACAATTAACTGTAACCACAGAACAACCAACCTGTTCACTTCTGATGACTTCAAAAATACACGGCTTACAAAACACATGCGCACAGCGTGTTATCACAGGATGAGTCAGGGATTCCAAGCAAACTGCACATTCTTCATCTGAACCAGAGCTCAGAACCAACTTCATTTTACTCACTAATGTCTCACGCAGTTCTTCAGGAGTTTTATTATCTGCAAAGATAGAAAGATACTTAAAAACAGATATCCATCCAGGAAACACTCCAAGCTGGCACAATCAACACCTTTCCATTGGTCAAAATGCAACTAGGACAACTTATACACAATGAGGATATAGCCTACGATGTACAGAAACAGAAGATACCAAATGCTACAGTAAATTCTATCCTACTATTTCAAAACACATTAAGAATAATCTTAATCGGAAAAATCCTGACTCGAATTCAAAGAACCTTGACTGCATGCTCAGTGATAAGTACGCATGTGACACAATGCCTAAAAACAAGCAGTTTTCAAATGGCAGCTGTTCAAGTAGTAACAATACTACGGAGATGACATTACTTATATGTACATTTATAGTTCAGATTGCTTTATTTTTTAAGTAAAGAAATTCGAATCATACTTACTAGTTACTAATTAATTTCTAAATAATTATTGAACAATTATCCCATCATTTTTCCATCCTGTATTTTTCAGGAAGATAAATTACAACCTTCTAAAAAACGTTCTGACCGTATCTCATTGGTCTTTGGGTTTCCTGAAAAATCACACCTATACCAATGGCATCTCAAAATAGGATTTTTAAAAATACTGAATTTGAGAATTCTCAAATTTAGAGTATTTCAAACAGACTATACTTTCTTCTGAAAGAAATGCATATAATTTTTAACACTGTGCAGCTAATACAGTTATGTCTTGTCAAAAATAAAATTTCACTCTCCTTTCAGTCCTCTGTGTTCACCCTTCCTTACATCCATAACAAAGTAACAGCTTCCTATTCTGCTGAAGGGGCAATGGTTCTGCTGACATGGCTTTCAATCTACAAGCCATTCCTCAAAGCTCCTCTACATCTTCTCTCCTGGGGCAAAGAAAAATATTTGCTGTAATAGCACTTCTGTAAATTATTACAACAACAGATCACCGCCTTTTAACAAGCCTTTTGCGTTTGGCTCTGCAGAGGTCGTCTTCGGTCATTTCTGTATGGGCTGTCAAAGCTTATTAACTCCTGCTTCTAAGCCTTTGTAACTACTCATACTTCATTGCTTTCATTCATATTTGAGTATGTGCTCGAGAACCCACTTCTTGAACAGAGTCAACACGTTATAGTATGAAAAAAAAAAGAGTAACAAACCTAAAAGTTCAATAATCCAAGCTGAAAGGAGGAAGGCTGAAGCTAGAAAGCTTGGAAAACACACAAATGTGTTTCTGTTATTGAATACAAAGTGCAAGGCCTCTTTTTAGAAACACAGGAACGAAAAGCATTCACTCACCAGCTGGAAAACTAGATGATGTATTTATACAAAGATGAGGATGACAACAAAGCTGCCTCAATCTGAGCAGGACACCAAGGACGTCAGCATAGTGAGCCAGCACAGTCCCCTCACTGAAAAATCTGAACAAGAGTTTTATCATTAGTGTGAAATGCGACAGCCTGAAGTAACAGATGACATCAGGTGAACAACTTTAGCTGTAAGAATGATGTTCTGATTTTTCACTTTCCTTTTTGAATATATTTTCTCAAATCCTCTTCTGAAACAATGTACAAAATGCTACCAGTAGCATGTCCTACTAGAAGAAATGCTAACACATGGGGACAAAAATTTTAAGGCCATTCATAGAATCACAGAATCATAGAATGGCTAGGGCTGGAAAGGACCTTAAAGACCACCCAGTGCCACCCCCTGCCATAGGCAGGGACACCTCCCACTAGCCCAGGTTGCCCAAAGCCTCATCCAGCCTGGCCTTGAACCCCTCCAGGGATGGGGCATCCACAGCTTCTCTGGGCACCCTCGGCCACTGCCTCACCACTCTCACAGTAAAGAATTTCTTCCTCACAGCTAGTCTAAATCTGCCCTCTTCCAATTTAAATCCATTCCCCCTCGTCCTGTCACTGCATGCCCTTTTTAAAAGTCCCTCCCCATCTCTCCTGTAGCCCCCTTTCAGCACCGGAAGGCCACTATCAGGTCTCCCCAGAGCCTTCTCTTCTCCAGGCTGCGCTCCCAGCCTCTCCGCGCACGGGAGCTGCTCCAGCCTCGGACCATCTCCGTGGCTCCTCTGGACCCGCTCCAACAGGTCAACATTCTTTACGTATCTGGTATCACTTTCTGTTTCTTGCAAGACAGAACTTCTAATCTATAGTTCTGCAGTAGTCTCCACCTCACTCTTCAGACCCAAACAGATGCCAGGCTAATTTGCAATTATTAGCTTACGGCAAACAAACTGACACACTTGGCTCCTAGAGCTAACATAATCCAAACTTTCAAAACACAAGTTTGTGATATCCAACTTGAACCTTCAGGATTAAGAAAGCCTTCTACTTACCTGCTAATAGCAGCTTTGCCCTCCTGCTTCACAGACTGATAGATCTGTCTCTCTTCCTCTGTAAGCGTCACATGCTGAATAAGTACTTTACGTTCTGGTAACTCCAAAATGGGTTTCCCTTTAACTTTACTTGTTTTAGTTCTTCTAAGGGTAATACTCCTAATCAGAGACTGTAAACGCCTAAAAATGCATATATAGACCATATATTACCCATCTGGATTTTGGGGGTTTTTTCCCAGTTTATTGCATAAATACATACACTGTACAAAATCCAAACCCAGTACTATATAATTCATTAACATGAAATTCTAAATAATTTGAATTATTTAATATTTATTAATTTGAACAAAAAAATTGAAATAAGAACTGATGACACATGCATTTCAATTTTAAACATGAAACACTAATTTGTCACATTGCCCAAGCACTGCCAGTTCTACTCATTCACAAACTCTTTGGGAACACTTCATACCCAAGTCCTCCTGGAGCTCCCACTGTGACTGGACGTTGAATTGTTCTCTGCCACCACTCTTGATCAGTAAAAGGTTTCAATTTTAAGAAGGAAATAAGAGACCACAAGTCCTTTACAGAGTTCTGAACAGGAGTGCCTAAACAGAAAATAAACAAACAATAAACCACTGTAAAATCTCAAAGAAACTAAAAAATACATTTTTTCAGTCGAAGTGAAAGTTTTGTGCTTTCTCCAAACCATACACCATGGACAAGGTCTCTCATAGCTAGGCTGACATGTCATTAAGTATAACACATATTATTTTCTTAATTAAAGTATTACAAAACACATAAATATCTAAGAGTGAGAACACTGCAGCTCTCAGTGCTAGGAAGACTTGGATGTTAATCTTTCCATTTCAGCTTCACCAGCAGAGGGTACATCATCATCTTCTTTAAATTACATTTAAGGATCACGTGCTCGCATGGTCCCTGCCAGTTTCTAGCATGACTATGACATTTCAAAAAGCTACTGAGGTTCTGATAAGTACTAAGTGTGTGAGCTTCTAACCAGACGTAACATGCCAGTTCGTAAGTAGGTCCCTCTTTACCTGCTCTTCCACCAAACCTGTGTATCAAAAATTATTTTAAAATTTGTGTCCACAAACTGAATAGAAACTAAAAAAAAACCAAAAACCAACCCCACAAACCACATAAAACCAAGCAAACAAAATAAAAAACAAACAAAAGAACACACACCTAAATTGCTGTTCAAAGACAAGTTTAATAACATTCCAACTGAATCTGACACAGATGGACATTAACCATCTCCCACAAAAAGACAAAGTGGAAACACCAAGTGGGAAACACAAGACAGTGTTACACTAAGAAGATTTGCACTGCATTTCTTCTGGTGTCAAATATTTTACCTGTAAGTACCCATCTTCTGTGTCCCTCCAGATTTAACACAGCTTTAGTTTGCTGAGCATTTGGATTTCGTATAGTATGCCCCTCATCCAACACAATTCTCAGCCACTCGACTTTGTGTAAAGGGCTGTCATCTCTGACCTGAAACATGGGATTTTTAAAATCTTTGACTCCAATTAAAATACTTTTTTGCAGTTTGGATTAAGCAAGCTATTAATATAACAATTCCACAATTAACAATGGGTAGTATTTATTTGCATTTTGTTTACTTATCAGCACAGAAGAGCAAAACTTTTAGATTTAATGATTCCTGGAAAATGTTACCACTCTTCTCATACTTGAATAGGAGGAATGAGCTACTGCAAAAGTAAGCTAACCCTGAAAAGAAGAAAGGCTTCAAAGACAGAGAGATATGGAAAATGGATCAGGGAGCAAATTAAAAGTTTATATTAAAGATGTCATCTTCAGGCTTTTAAAATGGCTGGAAATTCTACGAAAACATCACTTCACAAATACATCTCATGCAATGAGCTACTTGCATGCAGCCCATGTGCAAGAACAACTGTGGAATTATGTTTTTATATGCTCCATAGCCTTTGAATTTGACAGAGGAAGGCAGAAATGGGAGCCTCATGCCACTGAGATTTGGGAAGATTTAATACTTGTCATCCTTTTCTATCCTTAAACTGCCATAATTGCAGGCAAATAATTTCTACAGGAGCAATCAATAAAAAACTCCCTTTGTTACCACAGCAAACCTGTAAGAAAGTATGTGAAGTAAAACTGCAGATATAACCTTTTTGACTGCCTGCCAGAATAGCGCTCGACCACACTGCCATCATTAGCCCAAATACCGTGTGTCTTGAATGGTAAGGGATCGTCAAAGAACACTTTTTCTCACTACTTACTCCGTAATCAGTAGCTAAGATGTTGTATGTCGTCAGTACAATGTCTTGTTTTGAAAGAACTGATGGGTCTTTGCTACGGTCAGAACCATGATAAACATAAATATTTACATGAAAATCTTGGTGGATGTGTTGTTCAAACTGGTCCTGAAAGAAAAGTTGTCAAAAGTCATTCAAAAGATACTGTATTATTACCTGATCGTTAGAACAAAACTTTTTTAAGTTGCCTTAACTAAAAACCACTTCCTCTAGCTCAGCGACATTCTACATCCACTTATACAACAAAAGCAATTTCAATTTCAGTTTCTTTTTTACCTCTCCACCCAGGTGAGAAGAGGAACCAGGAGGAGTCACCTCAGTCATTAGTAATAGACACAGTATCACATTCTGACAGCTCTAGCTCTACTTCTCGCACACTTCTTGTCCATCCATCAAATTCATATTTTTCCAATTTCGCCACCAGGATGTCGTGTGGGACAGTGTCAAACACTTTGCAGAAGTCCAGGCAGATGACATCAGTTGCTCTTCCTTTGTCCACTGATGCCATAACTCCATCATAAAAGGCCACCAAGTTTGTCAAGCATGATTTGCCCTTGGTGAAGCCATACTGGTTACTAGTCACCTCTCATTCATTTTCCATGTGCCTTAGTAAAGCCTTCAGGATGATCTCCTCCACGATTTTTCCAGGCACAAGTTGAGACTGGCTGGCCTGCAGTTCCCTGGGTCATCTTTTTTACCCTTCTTGAAAATGGGGGTTATGTTTCCCCTTTTCCAGTCAGTGGAAACTTCACCACACTGCCATGACCATTCAAATATGATGGTTAACGGCTTGGCAACTTCATCTGACAGTTCCCTCAGGACCCGTGAACGAATCTCATCAGGTCCCATGGACGAATCTCATCAGGTCCCATGGACTTGTGCACCTTCAGGTTCTTTAGAAGGTCTTGATCCTGATCTTCACTTATGGTGGGTGGATCTTCCTTCTCCCAGTTACCATCTTCCCTTTCAGCAACTTGGGCGGTGTGGCCAGAGCCCTTGCCAGTGAAGACCATTTATATTCCTTGTATTTGCTCTGTGAAGCACTCATCATACAGTAATCTCAACAACCAATAAAAATCAACAATTCGATTTTTGAAGCACCAGACTCAGAAGTTTTCTTTTTAAATACTTAGTCTTGAATTGATAAAAAGAGTTTCCTACACTATTTGATATTTCCCAATTTTATTATTTCAATGTTTTACCTACAGTCTAAGATTACATTCTTTCCTTATTAATGTTCTAACCACAGACAGCAAAAATTTTGAAATAAAACATACCTTGAAAGTTAATGTTATCCCCTTAATATTTGTATTCAAAATATCATGAAAACAAAAAAATTTAATTAATGCAGAGACAGAGCTAGAAGGGCCTTTCAGCCTGTTCACTTTAGCAGACCTACTCCTACAAATCTCCAACAGGATCACCACATCACTGCACACCTCTAGGAAATGAAATGTCACATGCATCATCAATAAAGTACAGTAATATGTTATTCTGAGCATGCAGGAAGGACCCGTCTCCTCCACCTTCCTCATCTGGTTTAAGAAGTTAAATCACAGAAGTTCCAGAAGTGCCAAAGTGAATCTGCTTAGTCAAAATCAGAGAATGGAAAGTGAGCTTGCTCTTCCTGATAGTGGTGAGCTCTCTACTCATGGAACTGCACTCTCATTAGGATACTGCTCCAGTTTTTAAACTTCTATCAAATAAAACTTCCTTGTGAAAGCAGCTCTGTTTCATAAAAAAGGAAAACCATGACCTTGTACTAGCACGAGAGACTAGAGGGAGAGTATTATTTCTACTGCACCACAATCAACACATCTCACATTTAGACATTAAAACAGCTGAGCACTTACCATCCAATTGCTTAAGACAGATAGCGGACATACAACCAGTGTTGCTCTGGGGCCTCCATCAGAATATTTCTTCTCAAGTGGCTGAACACTAGTGGCACCTGAGAAAACAGAATTTATATTTAGTGTCATAACAGTTCACTTTAAAGCAAAGTAGAAGTTCAAGATACTTATGGTTCTCTTAAGTCCTTTCTAAATTCCTTCACTTGAAGAGCATCAAAGCAATTTACAAAGACATAAGCTTCATTTATTTAGTCAAATATGTACAGCACTCAGAAATTAGTATTATCTGTTTATCCCTTCATTACCTTTTCTCTTGGTTTGTCCTTTTAAACAAGTAGATGAAGGTAGAAGAACAGATGCAAAGCCTGGATCTTCTTGGGTAACACAGTAAGTGTCTGCAAGAAGCCAAACAGATTTTTCACAACATGCAGAGCATATGTATGCATTTATTTTTATGACATGCTTCATAAAAGTCAAACCTGTTAACCTATAAAATAATGTACAGTATCTCGAGTTGGAAGGGACCCATAAGGATCATCACGTCCAACTCCCTGCTCCTCGAAGGACTACCTAAAACTACACCATAAAGCTAACAGCATCATCTAGATCCCCCCTGAACTCTGACAGGCCTGTGTGCAGAAATATAGTAGCTTATGCATCTATTGCAGGTTATGAATCTTCAGAGGAAGCACATGTTTCACTCCAAGTACTTCAAACCTGAACTTAACTGCTTACTCCAGAGTACCTGTAGCCCTTCATTTTTCTTCCATGCAACATAATTAGTTCAACAAGTGACACGTGTTCTTGCCTCTTCATGATCATGTTTCGGGTATTTACCACAAGAGACGGACTTAATTTTTTGAATTTGTTTTTCCAACCCTAATGCCTTGACAACAAGCCTATGCAAAATTCTAACAATCTTACCAGTTCTGTTTTTCACCATCCATTTGGCCCTGCTCGTAGCTTTTTATACCATAACTCATTCAGCTAGGGAAACAAACTACAAAGGACTAAAACACTGCTTTCCCATTCAGCAGTTTCTAAAATTTTCTACTTTAAAAATTTTAAACTTCTAAATTTTTTGCTTGGTTGAATAAAAGAAAAAAAAAACACCAAGCAAACAAACAAACAAAACCAAAACAACCAATTAGTTTAGTTAATTCCTTTTACAGTTAATCAGAAATCCTATTCAGTTTGGCTTCAGAAAGAAAGACACCAGGTGTTACAGTAAACAACAACAACAAAAAATCCTTGCAACTTACTTTCTGTTTGTTGCAGAAGCCATTCTTCAGACTCTCCCAAGTTACTGCTTCCTGAATATCTGGGCTTCTTGGCTTTATTTCTAAAATATCACCATTAAGAAAGAGAAAGAAAGAAAGAAAGAAAACACCCATGACTCTACTACTGCTGGAATTTACACATTAAATCTCGAGAGCATAAAGCAACTGAACTTGATACTGCAAATAAGATACCACTGTAATTTGAAAATTTTCTCTTTGCAAGGGTTAGAAAAAGGGAAAGCACAGAACACAGAGCTGCAGGGTGAATGATGCTCGTAAAACTTCGTACAGTTTACCACTGAGGTTCATATCAATCACAAGAAGAGGCTAGTGTGGTGCAAAGGTTCAAACACATTAGCAGGCTTCACAACTTCATCCGCTCAAAGCTGTCTCTCTGTCAGAAGCATGCCTGTAAAGTATTTCTTAGCCACTTTAAAAACCCAGTCAATACTAGAAGAAAGATTATTTCACAGACAGTTTTCTAGATGCCAGACACTGATGTTGTCAGACACATTTACTACTGCAGGAGACATTCAAACATGCAGTCCTGCAAGCCACACTGAATGAGGTAATGCTTTTTTAAGTGCATCACAGATACAGGACACTCATGATAAATGTAAGCAGAAGTACAGCATACTAAAAGGTGAGAAGAGAGCAGGAACGCATTTTAGGCTAAGGCTAATCATAACCAAGTACCACTCTATTTTCACTCACAATCTACACAGCATACCAACAAAAAGAAAAAGATTATTCCATTACACACCTTTTTGGAAGAGAACTTGAGTGTTTCAACGGAGTAGTTTCACAGTGTTCTATGTTAGAAACATCAGGCTCCATCACATTGCTAGAGTCTTCATACAGAAGAAATTGGTATTCATGAAAAACATACATAGTCTTCAGCTTGGTTATCAAACCAACTTTAGCATAACTTGATCAAGAACAAGAACAAACGTCCTTTAAAACAACCTTAGTTCTGCATGGCACAAGTACTACTGATACTGCAATCACAAATGAAAAATAAAATTACTCTTAAAACAATCTTAGATATTTACAAAGTCATAAAAGGTGCACTGAGCTTGCAGGTGGTCAAAACCAAAAAAAAATGTCAAGAAACAAGGAACCAAGTGTAAGCATTGTACTGTTAATAGTAAGGTTAAAGTTCTGTAAAGAAGTTTTAAATAATGCTAAATAGTAAAGGTTTTTTTTACAGGCGAAACCTTACTAGTTAATGATTCCTACATTGCCTAAAACTAAATGAATAACAGCAACATTAACAGAAAAAATGTGGTAACATCACAGATGTGCGTGTGGGGTTTTTGAGGGGCTGCAGGGGAGGTTGTTTTGTTTTGTTGGTCTTTTTTTTTTTAAGGTCTTCTATCAGATAGTGAACAAAACATCAACTTTGTGCTCTGCCAATAATAGCATACCAGAAGCAAATGCAAAAAAGAAAACACATTAGGACAGAGTTGATATCAAAACTGAAAGCCACAGTGCTTGCAGAAAGAGTTTGCTGTAACTCAGGTAAGTAAATTCATGCTCGAATCCCGGATTTAAACTTCAGTAAAGATTTTTTTTAATATTAAAAAAAGTTTAATATGATCCTGAAGATGGCAAAACCTTCAAAGACTCAAGAAACAGATATCAATTTAACGTACAACAGAATGAGAAATGGGACAACAGAATGAGAAATGGGGGCAGGGGCCTGTAAGGCTTTGGAAGTCATTATCATCACTTTTTCAGATTAAATAATAGTAGAAACAGGCTCTCCCCTCACTGCTGTAAATAGTAACTTGTTAAAATGCTTGATGCTCTGGGGGAAAAAAAACCAACAAACAAAAGCCCAACAAACTTCTGATTTTCTGGTGGCAGTCATACTGACCCCCATGAAAGTCTGCATTTTCTCCCTTCCAGAGTATCAACAAAAATTACTTTCACCAGAGGCAGTCCAAACTGATGTGTTCTCTCCCTATCAGTCCCTTTCACTTTTCTTGTGCTATCAGTTAGGCCATCTGTATTAAAATTCCTTGCAGGGTAGGACAGCAAGGGAAAGTTACTCCAAGAAAACTTCAAGACCCATATATTTCTTCAGTCATTTTCAAGAGCACGATGAGTTACAGAACATACTAACAGCAAGTAGAATTTTTTAAATACATCTATAAATTCTCCCAATACAACCTGAAAACTACAGGTGTGATAAAATCCTTCTAAATACTTGTCATTTGCTCATTACTTAATAATATTTCAAAAAAAAGTTACTTAAAACAGAACCTAATTACAGTTTAACTACCAATGTTTACTGTTTAAACAAGCAAGATTCTAACAGATCTTAAGTGCTTCTGTTTTATCTACCAGGAAAGAAAAAGGAAAGCCAAAGGAACCCAGAATCCACTTCCTGGATGTGGTAACTCTCCTGGCAGGGTGCAACTTTCTCACAAGGCACTTAATCTTCTCATATGCTAAAGGTATGTTTTAAGTACTCCTCTGTGATATTCAGTTTGTCAAGAGTTTGTGAAGACTAGCACTGGCCACAGGCTAAGAGTACCCCAGGCAATCACATTAATTATCACACAAACATTTCTGGACTGTTCACAACTTGCTGTCACCTTTACACAGTCTGCGTCCAACGTTGTTCATGCTGTTAGTACCCGATTCCTATCGAGAAATGGAAACTTTTACTCTTTAACGTATCAACCGGAAAAAATGCCAATAACATTATTACACTAGCCTGACCAGTGATTAAATATTGCTCTGAAACATGAAAGACTTGCTCAGTGGCAAGTCAGTCACGTAAAGGTGCTGAAAAAGCATATTTTTTTTTTAGTAGTCACATACAGAGTTCACATGAAACTGCAGAGAGGCAGAGGAGAGAAACTCAGTCTACACAGCTTCCCTAGAAAGAAAACACACTAATAACATCTCCCAGTTAACATTATGAGGTCAAATACAAAGCACTATTTTGTTAAATTTAGACAAGTATGGTAAACCGAAAGAAAACACCCAGCCCTAATACTGTCGGGGAATATTGCACCATAGATCACCTAATCCTAGCACGTAGTTTATTCCATGGTTTTGAAAATCATATCATAATGACAGCAAAAAGCACTTGAACTACGCTGCCTGAGAAGAGTTTGCACATTGGTGTTATCACTAACTGAAGTTTCCCCTCCTCTCTTCATTTCAACCATTTGGCAAAAAAAACAAATGGAGATTTATTTATTTACTTATGTACTTTATAGCAAGACCTTCTGCTTGCTGTTTTGGTTGTTTCACGCACTTCTTCAAACCAAACAGGAACTATGCATGCACACCCCAAGAAAAAACACCACTTCTATTTGGGCAGTCACAACTTGCCTACAGGAGAAATTTATAAGAAACTTAAGAATTTATAAAACATTGAAAATGTTTATGCCTTCATAAACCCTTCCTTGGAGTACACTTAAGCATACACTCCTACGATGACAGTCTACAACTCAATTACACACTCTGAAGTAACATAATCCACCTACCTTCAACTAACCTACCCTATTCTTCCTCTTTATTTCATGTACTTGAATAACTTTTTCTACAAAATGTATACAAAGTTCACCATACAGAAGTTTACGAGGCTCAGGTTTCTTAACATCTGTTATATTAAGTCTGTCAAAACAATCTTTTTGTTTCATCTCACCTCATAAAACTTATCACTTCTTATCCTTCCAACAGGAAGAGGCTTCCCATCTTGAAAATTTGTGAGAATCAATGCAATAGTAGTAAGTGTTTTACCCTGCATAGCAGAAAAGAATGTAGTATTTTCCACAGATTAAAACAAACCAAATGACCAACCAACCAAGAAACATGCACACGTTCTGTATTAAAAAAGAAAAAAAATCAAGCTTTGTAAGTATTATTACCAGTCCCATATCATCAGCCAGTATTCCTCCATGAACATTCTTAGGTCTCTTCTTTTCTGCAAAATTTGTAAGTGTATTGTAATAGAAGTTACTTCTCTCTTCCCAAAATGGTGGCAAATCATCACTGTTCTCACGTGAAACCATCCAAGCTAAAGCCTGCTTCTGATGGGGAAGCAAGAGTGTGCCAACAGCCTGCAAATTAAAAAGATACACTATACTCTATTTGCATGTTAAATATGACATTCTATTTTTGGAATAATTTTTTTTTTATAAAGTACTTTGTCTCTACTAAAATTTTTTCTGATTCAAGCACCTCCTGTGTCCAGACAAAGCTAAATATGCATCTAGATGTTTAAGTATCTATATTTTTATAGAAAACAGTTTCTAGCTTAAGAAATACCTCTGCTCCTTCCATTTCACAAGTTTTATCATCTTCCTTCAGATCCTCAAACAACTTGTCAAATTCACTTTTAAGCTGCATAAATGAACATAAAAATGGCAATTAAAATTACTGCAATTAAAAATAACCTCACTAAATATTCAATTACTCTATTAAATTACAGTGTAGATGGGTCTACCACTTTAGACCTGATTTGCTGGAATGTATTTGTGAGGTTCAGCTATATAAAAATTACGTTCAGTTTTTCCAAGACAAACACATGCAAACACAAGCAAGAGCTTGAGAAGGAATGGCTAAAAGTATTCAAATCCTTGTACAACACTCACTAAAGTAACTACTTCACTCTAATTTGAAAGAGCAAATAAAAAGCAAAACCAAAACCAAACCACCACTCAACCCTTTACGCATCACCCTGGGCCAAATCTGAAGATAAAGTCCAGAAGTCCTAATTTATTTTCATTTGAGAATTTAACATACTTGTTATCTGGCAAAGTATTAGCATAGAGAAAATACACAACAATGTGAAAAAACTGTTGAACTACCAAAGCCTCCCAAAACTACACGGGACTCAAAGCTGCCACAGCGAGAACATCTGCTTAGAGCATAAAAATGAAAAAGATCAAAAGTTCAAGATAACTTCAAAGCAAATCTGTGCTCCAGAAAAGAAAATAAAAAGTGACAGACTTCTACTTCACAAGCACTGCTTTACTGATGAAAAAGTTAAAGGGCCCCACTGCTAAAATTCCAGCCTCCAGGTGTTGAAGTATGAAATGCAAACCTGTTCAGTTGTCAACTGCACAGCAGCATGAACTGGAGCGCTGTAACTCGGACCAGCTCTCCCAGAAATCCACTTTGATCCAAAACCACATTCTGAACCTACTTGCCATTAAAAAGACAGTATGTTGAAACACAATGATATGATGACTTCCCAATCTCAGCCTTCACTGGCTCACGAGTAACAACGCTGACCAGATTGCAGGCTGTAGGACAGTATCTTTCACCACTTGTCTTTTAGCCTCAACTTATCCTTTACTTTCAACGGGCCAGAAAGGCTTTCCACAAAGCTTCATATAACTCACATGCAATGAACTATGGGTTGGGATCCTTCGAGATGGCAACCGTGTTTCTTAAAAATTGTGTTACACGAAATTTAACTTGGTAAGAGTATGATGACTGAGAACGCAAAATGCTTTTTACTCCAAACTTTTTTTTCTGTCAACTATGTGCAACGGAACCTATAAGATAAAAACTGAAATTTTGCTATATGTAGAACAGATCTATGCCTCACCAAGGGCTTATTTCTGCACACATCCTTACTCCTGACCGCCACTTCTTCCACAAAGGCTAGTTCCAGGAGCACAGGTGCTTTTTGTGCGAGGCTGGCTCTGCAAAGCATCAGGTCTGCTAAACTTATTTGTTCAGAGACATCTAATCTCTATTTGCTCACACCTCACTAGCAGGATACACATCCTAGCACTCTGCTAAAAAAGTTGCATTGTCCCTGAAACTCTCACCCTGTCTAACCTGTCTCTTAAAAATTATTTTTTCAAGTTTGCAGAACTCCAGGGAATCACGGATTTTTAAGGAACTTATATTTCTGAGGTCACTCAAATGCATCTCCAGTTGCTGGCAGGTAACATAAAAGGTAGGATACAGAAGTATACTTCCTATGAGGTTTAAAATTAATAGCTGCGGGCTCTGCATTATTCCCCAACTAAGTTTAAAAAAATAATTTTGTGAATGACAAGAGTATGATGAGGACTAAGGCATTAAACATTTCTTCCAACCAGTGGCAAATTCAATCTGAATATTTTAAAGAGGAAAAAAACCCCAAAACTTCAAGACTTACCTTTCGGAGGAGGAGCCAATTTAAATCCATGCCTTTTTAGCTGATCTAGCACTGCGTCCCTATTTTCTTCTCTTCCCCAAAAGCTCATTTGTACAGGCATGGTAAAGGTATTTTTTGCTCCATAAGGGACAACCCTGGTAAAAAGCAGGAAAAAACCCAGAGCAGTAATCTTTTAATTGCTTTAATTTTTTATAATAAATCTTGTTATTTCTTCAGCAAGAGGTACTCCAAAGTGCTTATTTCCATCAAAACACAGAGTGTTCCAGATAGGTGTTAGTACTCATACTGTGTAAACCTTTTAAACAAACCACCATATGCAGTTAATTTAAGAGTTCTGCAACAATCTTTAAGGAATTTGCTCTCACTAGTGTCTCTATATCTTATCACATATGGGAAAGAATGAACTGTACGCAAGCAGTTCAACAGAAGAATAATGAGTCTGAAAACATGAAGCTTCAATCATACTACCAAGAGCTGTCATTTCCATCAAAAGATAGTTGTCAGAATTTGCTCATGTAGCAACAAAAAACATTTCATGGAACCAAAAGCAAGCATAATCTTCACACTTACCCTTCAACTAATGCCAGTCTGTTGTCCATAATGCCAGCCAACGCTGCCGCTAGTTCTTTTTTTATATGGCCTACCTGGTCTCCATTCACATTATTTACTTTCACTGCATTTTTATCATAAGGATTATTGGGCTCCCTCTGAAGTGCAACCATTTCATTGTTATTAACCTAAGAAAGCAAAACAAACAAATACCAGGACACATTCACTTAGTTGCAAACTATTTGCAGAAATATCTAACCTACATTTACTTAAATACCGTGAGGCTTAATTTGGTACAGCATTCTGGTCAGTCAGTCAAATACCCTACTACTTATTCAAAATACAGAAAGCTTTACAGAACAGCTACCTGACAGATGTCAGCAATTTCAAAAGTGTTCCTGAGAGTAAGAACTACCTTCAACTGCTAACACATTTAGTAAGGGAATAAACATCCCTTTTTGTCCATGTAAACAGTTCAAAGACCTATCTAATGTCTTGTTTTCAGTCACTTTCATTTGCCTCATGGGGATAAGCAGAGATACTAGGTAACTAAACCAGATTTGAAAGCTTGCTACCTTAATTAAGTTTGGAATGAAAGTTTTAGATTAAGTACTTCCCGTGAAGAATGTTAAATACAGCAAGTTAGGGAAAAAATCTATTAAAATTATACTTGGTCAAAAGGAATTTTTGAAATTTAATTAGAAGTATTTTTTCTGAAGCTAACAACAACTTTCTCTTCTGTTTTATAATTTATCATGCACTTACAATCCCCGTATAGTATCGTAATCCAACAACACTTCCTCGCAAAGTTCCATATAATATAGCTGAGTCTGTATCCTCCTCTGTTCCAGAAGTCTCACCTACAGAGAGGAAGTCTTCCAATGCAGGACTAGAGTAAAAGTCAGAAGAGGAAAAACCGGAATAGTTTCTCTCTCCTCTGCAAGTTTTATACTGAGAGCATCCTCTTGCAGGATCTCTGCAGAAAGACAAAGTGTGAAATATTTGACAATGTATTTGACAATAATTATGTCATTATTATTTCCTTGCACTCTATTTTACCCCTTTATATAAGGCTACCTATAAACCCCAGTTTTACAACTTTGTCCAGTTAGTGTTTACCTGGAAACATTAAAAAAGAGTTTTCTATTAGAAGAAAACTTTGTCTGTGATTTTTTTAATCCCCAATAAATTTGTTTAAGCCAATTACAATAAAGAGCTGACAACTGACTAAACTACGGCATTTGTGCATTCTGCCCTAACTTCCCTTGGATTATCTTTGTCAACATTAAGAATTCTCCAGATTTAGTTACATCTCTAATTATATCTGACACAACAACATTTCCATGTATTTTCCTAACAACAATTTTTTTCATCCGAGAAAAAGGTTAAAAAACCCGTTTGTAGCGGATTAACTGTTTATGCCTATAACCACAGAAGGTGAAATACTAAAACGGTCCCCTACATATTTACTAAGCTTACCTTCACATACTGACTTCTATCATTAATACCTTATAATAAACTCCAGAGACAACTGGCTACCCCAGGCCAGCGCGGGTCATTACACCCACATCTCCAACACAAACTTCGTCGGCCGGGTTCCCGCTGGGGACAGGATGCACCTCCTGACTCCCATCGCTGCACTCCGAGAGAGGGAAACAGCCGGCCACGCGTTAATGTGCATGTAACATCCACATACTAACAATTGTTTTAATCAATACACAACGATAAAATCTCAACACAAATGTCAACTGACACATAATGACCGTGACCTTTGGAATATCCCGCAGCTACCCTGCGGTGCTGCTGGATTCATTCAAGGGTACTGACACTAAGAACAGTTGCCATAGACTGGTTATTCAAGGCTTGGCACAGGGAACTCCCGGTTCTTTTGCCAATGACACCTGAAGTTCCTGTATGACCGGCATTCCACTTTCTCTGGCAGAAAAACGAGCCGCTGAG